TTTTTATGCCAATAAAGGTAACCACTAACAAGCTAGAAAAGGTCCTTATACTGAGCTAAAGCCAGAGTCATATAGCCCTCACAGTTGTACTGTAAGTCCTGAATGTTCTCTTACAGATAAGTTCTTAGGGAGAGGAATCTAGAGCACCATAAAAATAGCCCAATGCTATAGCCCCCTTGTTCCATGTTGCTAAAAAGCATTTTTTAGTGTTTATTGCATATTCCATTAGTCAAGTTATAAGATCATGATTTTAGTTGAGCACTAGCATCATACTACCCAATGCAATACCCCATAGGTGAAAGGTACGAGGAAACAAAGTACTAGGAAATCTTTAGTGGTAGTCAAGGTAGACACATGCAGTATGAATTAGATGATTAAAGATGTATAGGACAACAAGGAAGATCCCATGCTATACTTGCCTTAAACTCAGATCCTTCTTCTAGTCCAAACCTTCAAAGGAACTTCTTGATCAACACGTAAAGCTCACCAATTGAACATGATCATAAAGCGCCACACAAGCATCCATGCAATCATACACGAAGCAAACAATAGAACTAAATTAGAATAGTACACCAAATATATGAAACAATAAGTAAAAAGGTTTTAAAAATGTTCTACACGTTACTACGATCACAAAGACGCGAAAATCACGCTAATCGGAGCTACGGTGAAAAAGATACATCTACCGATAGATTTGCTTCGAAAAGAAACTATAGGCTTTATTTATTTTAGCTATATAAAACATGTATAAGATACTTAAGAGAAATACCTTAATTGAGTTAAGTCAAATTATATTTGATTTAGAAAAATAAGGTAAAACTAATCATATAATTAACCAAGGTGAAAAACCTAAGTTACTTTTAATTAGAAAAATCCAATTGTATAATTATTATTCAAGTTAAGCATTAAACCATAAAATTTCAGAGCTCTGGACATGGAAAACATTGATACTAATGCATAGATTATGTTGTTACGAATCTAACTCAACTTGAACGGGTCAAATCGGAGTTGAAACGGAGAATATATGGCCTAATGAAGATAGTGGCAATTTTATAAATAGATGAAACTTGATTTTTGAATTTAAAATAAATAAAATCCAATTTTAAATCTGCCCAAGGACTGTGGATATTATTTCATAAAAAGGCAGGGGTAAAAATAGAAGAAAGAGGGACCTCTTTTTAAATACTGTTGAACACAGTTGGACTGCGGGTTGATTTCAATGAAGGAGAGGGGCTCTTTTGCAAAAGGGGATAGGCGAAGGGGTATCGACCTCTAGTGGTCGTTGGATCTGAATTGGATGGTTCGGATTAGATAGATAAGGGGAGGGGAGTGCTGCTGAGCCGAAACAGTAGAAGGATGACGCGCGTATTCGCCGACGATGACAATTTCTCGCGTAGAGAAACTGGGGAAAAGCTCCAGGGACCTTAATCAAGCTTGGGATTGGCACTGGGAGCTAGAGGGGGAAATGGCGAACTCAACTCGGTGAATTACAGTGGCTAAGCGTGGGCAGAGGCGGCTAGCGGCGAGCAATGGCGGTGACAGAGCGACGGCGACGCGGGGTAAGGCAACGCAGAGCGAGACAGAGAGAGATAAGGGGCTTGGCGTGCTCGTGAACACGACGCAAAGCTCGGGGAGGCACTTATGGCACGGAGGAGCAGCTAATCGTCATGGCGGCATAGAGCTTCTTCACGGCGAGATCTTGACGGCGGCACTAGGGCATAGGGCGCCGTAGCGTCTCGAATTAGGGTTAGGCGAGGGCGGGCGATGTAGGGGCGCGGTATTCATGAGTCTTTGCGGCGTAGGGCTCACGCCACCTGGAAGAAACAGGAAAGAGAAGGACACGGCCACGACAGAGTCTAGCGTGGCTATGCGAGGAAGGAAACGGTGTCGACAGGGTGGGTCCACCGGTCAGCGAGAGAGGGAGCGGGTCCAAGACGTCAGACAGACAGAGGGGGAGAGGAGGCGGGATGCGGGCGTCCGCACGGCTAAGCTGGGCCACGACTACATGCATGGCAATGGGCTGAGAGAGAGAGAGCCTTTGGCCGAGAGAGGGAAGAGAGAACGCTTGTGCCGGCGCCAAAAGGAGAGAAAGGGGAAAAGAGATCTAGACCGGGAGCAATAGGCCCATAAGGGAGAAGAAAGTGAGGGAGAGGAGAGGAGAGAGTAGGCCGGCTGTGGCTGTTGGGCCAATAGAGAGGGAAAGAAGGGAGCCGGGCTGCAGAGGCAAAGGGAGAGAGAGGGAAAAAGCATTCGGGCCAGATTGAGAGGGAAGATTTTTTTTTCTATTTTTCTAAATCTTGTTTCAATTTCCAATATGAACCATCTCAAGTTTAAACATGTTTTCAAATACACTTTGCAATTCAAATCAAAATGAACAATTTTGGTAGGCTTTCAAAAAATAATTTTTACAACTTTTAAATTCTTTTATTTTCCAATTCTTTTTCTTTTCTTTTCTTTTATTTCAAAGTCATTTCGAAACCATTTTCAAAAGCGATTTGAATTCACTTTGAATTTTGGATTCAACCTCTCATTGCAATAAATCAAATGCACCGGCACGTATGCACATCCATGTTGCTACTCCTTATGATGAATTTTAATATAGTGAAAAATATTATTTTTCCTATATTTCATAAGCACAAAAACAAGTATTTAAATCAATTTAACTTTATTTTAGAAAATGCAAATTTTAGGGTGTTACAACAATTAAAAATTATGGTCTTATATCGGTGGTTGTCTACTTCACACCTCCACTTATAAAACCAAATTTTTTTAACTCTTAAACTACTAAAAATCATCTAAATAACCTCTTAAGACGGTTTTGAAGCTGATTTCGCTAATATGGCGATATGAAAAAGTCCAATAACCCCTTACATATAAAGGGTTAACTATAAACTCCTCAACTATAAAATATGATATTGTAATCTTTAAAATATCTAATAATATTTAAATATTAGCTTGGATGGCTTTGTAAGACTATTTGGACACCTTGGCCGGTTACGCCGGCCTGAGTACCCATATTTTTTAACGGTCTACATGGTACAAAAGGTAAAAATAAAATAAAATAAAATATTACATGTAATACTATAGGAATCGGCCCATGATAAGACAACAGGAACCGCATAATTAGCAATTTTTTTAACTCTATCTCTATTTCCTCATATATACTGGTTACACTCATCATCGAACCTGTGCCAACAGTGACAACCGGATATGAACAGGCACCCAGGCGTCGACGAGGGCGTCCCTGCCACATGCGTATGGGCGATCCCACGTCAGTACCGGCCCAAGGCACCCAACTAGTTGGGCCTCCAAAGCACCAGCTCAACGCGTAACAATAGTTCTAACCTTTCTTAATTATTGTGCTAGTCTGATTTATCTTTCTGAATTGAAAAACCAGATTTTCAGAGCATCTCTAATAGTTTTCCAAGTGACTAAAAAAAGTTAGCAACATATTTGTTGGCTTTCTTCAACCATTTCTAAAATCCCGCTCCTAGAAGGTAATTTTGCATTAATAATCTAAATCAAACCAACTACTTTTATATTTTTTTTTCTCTTGTATATTTGCATCAGGAACCCTGTCATACTCCTTATTATTTCCCACATTCTTCCACCTTCGGATTGGTCAATGGATACTCAGCTTGTATATCATCGCAATTAGGTCGATTATACCAAGTGCGGAAAAGATTGAGAGTTGAGATAGTGAGTTGTTGGAGAGTTTTTTTTTTAATCTTGCCAAAGAACCAAGATTGGGAGTGGGTCTTGAAGATGCTCTTAAACTCCCTTTACTCTTAAAATTGTCTGACCTGTCATGAAAGTCCAATTTACCTTCCTTAGAGTTAACGCGACACCGTATAAGACAGATAATGTGGCAGCACGTCAGCAAAAATTGCTTTGAACACGATTCAGGGATGTTAATTAGACTTCATAAAATTGTAGAAATAAATTTTCAAAAAATATCTAAATATTTTTTTCCTAGAATAGATATGCATTTAAAAATACTAAACTCTGATTTAGTATTAGAAAATTTAAAGAAAGATTGTTTTAACACAAGAAAATATGAAACCAGCTTCATATTTTTCCTGTATTTCTAAGCTAAGCACCATAATATAGAACATGATTTTAGAAAAAGTATGGCATCTCATGCCCATTCAAATTATCTTCCTCCTCGATCATGTGTTTTAGTGCGTGTGCAACTACGATGACAACGATGGATGAGGAAACTGCTGCATCATTCAGATGTTGTCAACAGAGTTGCAAACATCGGTTCAAGAGTCTGAGAAGTTGAACATCCGGATGTTACCGTCCAAGTCGCACGCCACACTGGCCGCCGATTATGGTCCAATGCACATGTCATCGACATGAGTCCCATAAAAAAAGACAATGTTCCTATAAAGTTAAATCACATGATTTATGTTGTTAATGTGCAATCAGAGCTTTAATTATATTTTATTTGCAATTTTCCATGCATGTCTCAATGGTTAAGTAAGATATTACTCTCGAGGAAACATTTTTTTAGTTTGCATAGGGTACACAATTCACGTTGCGGTTTGCAAAGATTAGTCTTGATATGCATCCTCTATTTCATATTTGATCCAGTTTTAGATTTTAGGATATATAATTCAGAGAGTCTTAAATAAGGAAAAAAATAGAACATGTTTTTTAGAAAAAAAATGCAACTGGTTTTATTTTTAAGAATATTTTTTCTATATTTTTTTGAGAATCTTCTATAAATTTTCTTATCACAGACGAACCAGCACTTCCCATCCATTGGACCAACCAACTCGGTGTCCGCTCTGTGTCAAAAAAAAAAAAAAACTCGGTGTCCGCTCTCTCAGCTGCCTCTCCAGTCCGCCCCCCCCGACTTCGTCGGCGGCGGCGACGCGAGCTCACCGGCGAGGCGGTCACGCGGTCTCTCTCTCTCCCTCTCGCTCTCTCCGGGACACCTCAGGATTTGTTTTATTTGACGTTCCAGACCGGACGGCCACCACCTGTTCGACAGAATGTCTCAGGGGAGTGAGGCCGCGAGGAGCAAGAGGAAGACTGCGGATGGAAGTACAGACAGACTCAGTGGTCTCCCAGAAGGTCTGCTGCTGGACCTTCTGTCCTTCCTTCCATCGAGGGACGCAGTGCGGACGTGTGTGCTTGCCCGCCGCTGGCGCAACCTGTGGAAGGAGGTGCCTGCTCTCCGCATCACCCCTGCCACCACGTCGGGGTACTGTGGCGCGAGTGCCCTGAACAGGTTCGTCAACGACCTGCTGTTCTTCCGCAACCGGTTACCTCTCCATGTGGCCGAATTCAGCTCCTATGGAGGTGACAATTTTGATGAGGCTGTCCAGTATTTGGAGCTTTGGATTCGCTACACTTTATCATGCCCAGTTGCCAAACTCTCTGTCACCAGCCACGATAAATATCAACGCTGGCTGCTTCCCAAGGGACTTATCACCTCGGAGCACCTGACAGCACTTCAGCTTACCCGGGTCAAGACACAGGACGATCTGGATTTCTCAAGTTGTGTGTCTCTAAAGCATCTGAAGATGACTGATTGTGGCATTTACTGTGATAGAATCATGTCCCCGTCACTAAAGCGTCTCATGATCGCACAATGTCACTTCATTGGGTATGCCCCGTACCCAAATATATGCCTCGAATCTCATTCTCCTTCTGTTAGTTGACTGTATGGGAATGACTCCATTGCTCGTGAGCATGCCGTACCTAGTGGAGGCATTTATCAGACTTGGATACTGCAATGATTTTTGTAAACATAGTTATGAGATTGGTGATTGCGGGGACGAGTCATGTTGGGGATGCCAGTTCTATGAGGACAACTATGGAAACAATAATTGCATTCTTCTTCATGGTTTGTCAAGCTGTACAAATCTGGAGTTAACAGCTGCAACAGCGCCGGTATGTTTTCCCTTAGCACTTAATTGTTTTTCATTGTTTGCCTTCCATTCTGTCCTTGCATTTGTTTCTTAGTTGGAACCTGGAATAGCCATTGGGAATATGTATTGTGTAGATAACTGTGGCCAAAATCATGTCATGACGCCTAGTCAGTTTTGAATGTTAAATACATACTGAATGGTCCTATTCACTTCAGTTGCATCCCCTCATCATGCTTCTTGTACTGCACAAGTTGAGATGTTGAGTTATTCTTACTGAATTTTCCTTTATGCAGTTCATTTTCAGGAAGGATTTGACGCGATGCCCTGTATTTAGCAAGTTAAAAACTTTGTTACTCAATGAGTGGTGCATTACTAATAACCTTGGTGCATTAATATGCTTTCTCCAGCACTCACCAGTTCTAGAGAAGCTCATTATTCAGTTTGAGCCTCCCGAGGTGCATGAATTCTCTGTGATAATAATCTGTCTATTTAAAGTAAACATGTATGATGGCCTAACTTGGTATACATGTTCTGACAGATACATGAGAGATTAGTGGAAATAGGAGGAAGTTATGACCTAAGGAAGCAATCCCTTGTATTGAAGGACCTTAATGTTGAAGTTAGATGTGATGATGGTGATGAGTGGGTTCACAAAGTCTTGGATGTTTTGGGTTCCTATGGTTTATCCCCTGAGAAATTCAAGATCCAACGACCTGCAAAACTGACTAGGGCCCGATTTGATGACACTTGGACTTCTGGAAGTAAGTTTTCTGTTGGCAATTTATATAAATTACTATATTTGTATGACCCTGTTTCTGTATGTATAAAATATAATGAAAAGGCTCCAAATATTGGCCATGGCCAAAGTTGTGGCACTTTGCCAAAATCAGAGCTTAAAGATGATGTATGTCTTGCGCCTTTCAAAATTGGGGCTGTGACAAAATTAGTGCAGAAAAATGGTGTTCTAAATGTGGCCATTCTAAATTTTTTCAAATATTATGGTATGACATGTGGGCCTGGTATTCCATCTATTTGCTTAGGATCAAAATTGGAGACAAAACATAATAATTCTAATTAGACTCAAAATAATATACTAGTCCAGAATACCAAAAGTAGCAAGACCATCACAAGGTAACTCATGGACACCAGAGATGTGGTGACTGCAACTAAAACACATCCATGCCTCAAGTAACTGTTGCTTCAACTATTAGGAAATGAAGTTGTATTATGCCCATTCCATGCTGTCAAAGTTAGATGGTTTCACCTGAGACTATCTCAGGCTGCTTGCATAACTTTCACTTTAATGGCTCTTCATAAGTTGGGATGGGTTGGTATAAAAGGTACACTCGGAAAGCTACTACTATCAGATATGACGTGAAACCTTTAGGTTGCCTGCTGGTGCAAATTAAAACAATCAAGGCTGCTCCAAAAGAGATAAGAAAGGGACTGAATTCACTCATCATTCTGGTTGCCTAGGAGTTGTGGAAGCTTAGGAATGCTTGTGTCTTTGAGGGTGCTAGTCCCTGTGTTCAAAGAGTTTTATCTGTAGTTTCTGAAGAGTGTTTGTTGTGGTGTTGGGCTGGAGGCTGGAGCTAAGGCTCTGCAACAGCTTTTTAGTAGGTTGCTACCTTTAGTTGTTTAGGCGTTTCTTGGGCAGTGGTCGTCTGTTTTTATTTCTTAATGTGTGGTGCTAAGAGTCCTGTAATTGGTTCTTGGGGGAGCAGGCTCTGCCTCTCCTCCGTTGTTATCTTCTTGATGAAATGACACGCAGCTCTCCTGTGTCGTTTGAGAAAAAAAACTTTAGGCTTTTCATGCAGCTTTGCCATGGTTTTGTTTTCCCGAACCAGGATAAACTCCATTTCCATTAACAACAGAAATCAAGTAGATTGAAAGGCCGGGCAGAGAGTTAGGCGACAAAAAGAAACCTAGTACAAGCTAGGATCAGTTGCCTCCGGTGACCAACCTGCTTAGTACACAGCCTATGCGTGTACATATCCCACTAACGAAAGTAAACACAACATGTATCAACATAAGAGTTGCAGATGAGCAGTCAGCATAAGAGTTGCAGATAAGTAGTTGAAACATCAGAGTTCCAGAGTGCAGCATCAGAGTTCCGGAGTGAGTTTCAAATATCAGATCAACTCCAGATGAGCACCACCCTTCTCCTCTTTGGCCAGCTCTTCAGTGGCAGTGATTCTTAGGCGAGGGTGTTGTGGCATTGCGACCATCAACCACTTCTCGTTGAGACCTGGCCTCAACGACCCTGCCCAAAATATAAGAAAAAAACAAGCTTTTGTGGTTACTTATGTTAGAATAAGTGGCCAACCGATTCTATTCAGGCCCCAAAGGGGCAAGTATACAAGTTTGTACATATGCAAAGAACACCTCCAAGTAAAGGGAAAATAGAAAGTACATATATACATCTAACACCCCCTCAAACTCATGGTGGATCAACAACATTGTGTTTGGAGAGCAAGAATCTATGATAGGCTCGTGGTATCGTGCCTTGGTGAAGAAATCCGCTAGCTGAACCTCGAAGGAACGTGGTGGAGGGACACAACTGATCATGCACTGCGATCTCATGTAGGAAGCATCAATGCCAATGTGTTTGGTGAGCTCATGCTTGACCGGATCCCGAGCAATACTGATCGCACCGGTGTTGTCAGATCGAAGAGAGAGGAGTGGGTGCAGTGGGAGGCACACCAAAATCCTCAAGAAGCCATCGTAGCCATGTCACCTTTGCAGTCACAGTCCCCATAGCACGCAGCTCAGCCTCAGCACTCGAGCGGGAAACTGCAGTTTGCTTCTTGGTTTTCCAGGCAATCAAGGAGGAGCCAAGGAAAACGCAATAATCTGAGAGAGTAGTGATTAGTGGGATCACTTGCCCAAGTCGCATCAGAGTACGCCTGAAGCTGGAGAGAACTAGAGCGAGGGAAGAAAAGGCGGCGGGAGATGGTTCCGTGAAGATATCGCAGAACACGAAGGAGGTGAGCATAGTGGAGCTGGGTAGGAGCCGAGACAAACTGACTCAAGATATGAAGAGTAATATCAGGATGGGTGATCCCAAGACAGACAAGGCTCCCAACAAGCTGACGATAGCGAGTGGGATCAGCAAGTGGTGCACCATCAGTTGGTCAGAGGTGAACACTAAGCTCCATAGGACGTGGGTGTCGTGTCTCACTAAGACGCTGCTTCACATAGGCAATGTACTGAGATTCGTCACCTGTGATGATCATGTCATCGACATAGAGAAGTGTGCAACCACGAGGAGAAATGTGAACAAAGAGAGCAGGATCATGGTCACTAGGTTGGAAGCCAGCATCGATGACAACAGAGGAGAAACGCTCGAACCAAGCACGAGGAGCTTGCTTAAGACCATAGAGAGAACGATGCAACCGACAAACCATCCCATCCGGAACAGAGTACCCTGGAGGTGGCTGTATATAGACTTCCTCACGGAGGTCTCGCCATTAAGGAAGGCGTTCTTGACATCCAACTGATATATCGATCACTGACGAATAGAAGCAACTACAAGAAGAGTCCGAACAATAGTCATGTGAGCGACAGGAGCGGAGGTCTCCTCATAGTCACGACCTTGCTCCTATTGGAAGCTGCGCGCCACATGACGAACCTTGTAGCGCTCAAGCGAGCCATCCGAGCAGGTCTTTACCTTGTACACCCACTTGCAAGTGATAGGAGTGACATGAGGTGGTAAAGGAATAAGATCCCAGGTGCCAGTACGCTCCAAGGCAGCAATCTCCTCAGCCATAGCATGCTGCCACTCCTGGTGAGCAGCAGCCTCCCTATAGGTCGCAGCTCACCAAAAGCAGCAACAGCAGTCTGACCAAAGGCGATCGGGAGGACGAAAGGTGCTGCGGTCATGAAGGGCATAGCGAGGTGAAGATGCAGGAGGAGGTCCAAGGACGGACGAGAAGAGTCAAGTGGCGGTGCAGGCCGCGGACGACACATGTAGTAGTGAGTGATCTCACGCGCAGGACACAAATGTGGTGGGGAAGGAGAGACTTGGTGGTGGAGGTGAAGTAAGAGGAGGCGGCGAAGGCGGAGAAATGGATACCTAAGGTGATGAAGAGGGAGAAGACGACAGCGGAAGATACAACTCAGGTAAAACGAGGAACGAGAGGGACTCAACAGTACCAGAAGGACCAAAGGAGGAACGAGGATAGTAAGACCAGGACTCATCAAAGGTGGCATCCCGAGAAATCCTCATCCGACGAGCAATAGGGTCATAGCAGCAATAAACCTTATGTTCCGTACTGTACCCAAGGAAAACACACTCAACAGATTGAGAAGTGAGTTTGGTTCGCTCATGAGGTGGAAGGACATAGCTAACACACCCAAAACAATGAAGATGGCTATAGGAAGGTGGGGTGCCAAAAAGACGCTCATAGGGAGTGCAACCCTGAAGAGCAGTAGAAGGTTGGCGATTGATGAGAAAAATGCCGTAGAAACAGCCTTAGCCCAAAAATGAGGAGCAAGCTCAGAGGAGATCAGTAGAGCACGAGCAGTCTCAAGAATGTGGCGATGCTTGCGCTCAGCAACACTATTTTGAGCATGAGCACCAGGACACGAGAACTGGGCAAGGGTACCCTGCTTAGCAAGATAGGAACGATGAGCAGTAGAGATGTATTCACCAGCAGAATCAACACGAAAAACTCGAATAGGAGAGTCGAACTGTGTACGGATCATAGTGGCAAATTGCTAGTAAATAGAAAGAAATTGACCACGAGAAGACATCAGATAAATCCAGGTAAATCTCGAATAGTCATCAACAAATACAGCATAATAAGATTGTCCCCCTTTTGTACAACATAATAAGATTGTCCCCCTTTTGAAACAAAAGGGGCAGGACCCCAAACATCAGAGTGAACAAGATGAAAAGGCCGTTGCGACTTAGACTTACTAGAAGGATAAGGGAGCTGCAATTGTTTGCCAAGTTTACAACCCATACAATTAAAAGCTCTAGTTTGGTTTTGGTGAATTGATGAAACCCTAAGTGCTAACCTAGTTTATCTAAGTGATCATGAGATAGGTAGCACTAAGCCAAGTGGTGGAGCAAATGAAGATCATGTTGATGGTGGTGATGGCCATGGTGATCAAGTGCTCGGCTTGAAAAGAAGAAAGAGAAAAAAACAAAAAACTCAAGGCAAAGGTGAAACTTGATACGAGCCTTTTGGTTTGGTGATCGAGACACTTAGTGAGTGTGATCACATTTAGGATCGATAGCCGTACTATTAAGAGGGGTGAAACTCGTATCGAAATGTGGTTATCAAAGTGCCACTAGATGCTCTAACTCATTGCATATGTATTTAGGATCTAGTGGAGTGCTAACACCCTTGAAAATGTTTGTGAAAATATGCTAAACACATGTGCACAAGGTGATACACTTGGTGGTTGGTACATTTGATCAAGGGTGGCGAAGTTGGAGTTGAGAAGGGGCTGTCTCGAGGTGACTGGACGCTGCTCTAGCAGCGACCGGACTCAGGAGCCGCGTCCGGTCAGTAGCGCGCAGTGAAGGCGCCCTCGGTCCTTTGACCGGACGCTAAACAGTGAATGTGACCGGACGCGCAGGGCCTGCGTCCGGTCAGGGGATGACGTACGCTGACGTGTGCTTCTTCGCGAGCCAGAGAGGACCGGACTCGGAGCTACGTCCGGTCACCTGTGAACGGACGCGTCCGGTCGCAGATTTCCCTCTCTGGATGCTTACTGGAAACGACTTGACATCGGGAAGCCATGGGGAGCAGCGCGTCCGGTCAGGGCGTGTTGGCGCGGGCACACGTGTGGGCTGACTTGGCACCGGCGCGTCCAGTCTTCTGGACGGCGCGTCCGGTCGTAACTATCGTGTGGCGTGAAGCTAACTAGCCATTGAGATCGCGTGGACGAGGTTAAACCGAGGGGCCACGTGGCGCGCATCGCGCGACCGGACGCTGGGTGGCGTGCGTCCGGTCGCCCCGACCTGCACGTCCGGTCGGTGCGCAGTGGGGTGCTCTATGAGCCCAACGGCTCTATTCGTGGGGGGCTCCCTATTTAAGCCGCGTGGCTGGCTTTAGCTCACTCTCTTGGCCATTTGTATTTACATAGCTACCTTGTGAGCTTAGCCAAAGCCCTCCCACTCATCTCCATCATAGATTCATTATCTTTGTGAGATTGGGAGTGAATCCAAGTGCATTGCTTGAGTGATTGCATCTAGAGGCACTTAGTGTTCGTGTTTCGCTACGGGATTCGCTTGTTACTCTTGATGGTTGCCGCCACCTAGACGGCTTGGTGCAGCGAGGATCATCGAGCGGAGGTTGGTGATTGTCTCCGGCTCCGATCGTGGTGATTGTGAGGGGTTTTTGACCTTTCTCCGGTGGAGAGCCAAAATATACAAAAGTGGATTGTTCGTGGCTTGTGTGATCCTCATCTTGTGTTGGTTGTGCGGCACTCTATTGAGGGTTTGGCGTGTGATGCCAATTAGCGCGTGAACCTCCAAGTAAGTGAATCGCCACAACGAAGACTAGCTTGCCGGCAAGCAAGTGAACCTCGATAAAAAATCTTGTGTCATCTTGTCCGAGGATTTCTTGGTATTCATTGTGATTGATTGTGATTGATTGGCTCTATCATTGTGATTGGCTCAATTCCTCTACACGGTGGTATAATCATCACATCCCCTACCTTGCATTTACATTTCTAGTGTTGCTTCGCTCTTTAGTGTAATTAGTTTTGAGAGCAAGCTTGTGTCGGGTCTAGTGGTTAGTGTGACTCTTTAGTTAGTCTTCGAGAGCACACTAACTTAGTGTAGTGACATAGCCATTGTGTGTTTAGAGATCATAGACACTAGAATTGTGGTAGGTGGCTTGCTCTTTTAGTAGGCTAGCGCAACACTCGATTCGTTGTTTAAATTGTCTAACATATTTGTTAAGTGTTGTTGTAGAAATTTTCAATAGGCTATTCACCCCCCTCTAGCCATTAGGACCTTTCAACAATGTAGAGCAGTGTGGACCTAAGACACCACTAGCAACTAGACTGGACAATCTAGAACCAGAGAGGTGGCCTAGACGACGATGCCACTGCGCAAAAGAAGTGGTAGGCGAAGTAAGCGGGACGCAGATCTTTGGAGGCTGAGGGAGCCAAGTGAGCCAAGGTGGATGAAGGAAGACACAACCAATCAAGCTTCCATTGACGTTTTGAGTCCCGACGCCTAGGCCCAATCCCCACCAAAAGACCTGTACAAAGGTTCTGAACACAACAAGAATCAGATTCAAGAATTATGCGACAGCCATGATCAGTGATTTGACTCATGGACAACAGTTGCATGGTGAGTTTAGGAACGTGGGAAACGGTAGGAACATCAAAGGAAGATGTCGAAAGAATGCCTCTCCCGAATGTAAAGCGAAGTGCCATCCCATGATTCGAACAAAAATAGGTGGATCGGGAGAAGACACAGATGACAAATTGGTTGAGTCGGGCGTCATATGAAAAGAAGCACCAGAGTCAAGGAACCACGGGGATGATATACCTAGAGGAGGAGGAGCAGAACTAGACGCCTGAGCAATAGTCCCGTGAGCTAAGGCCTGAGCCGCAGTAGTAAGGCGACGAAACATGGCAGGAACCTTATGCTCCGCTGCAGACACTGAACGAGTGCCCTGCTGAGTAGAAGAGCCACCAGAGCCCTGAGAGGAGCCCTGAGAGAAGTGTCTGCCACGACGCCCCCACATGCATCGCCGCTACCGCTTCTTGCGACACTCCTCATGACCATAAATCTTGCAATAGCCACACTGAACACCAGAAGGAGCCCCCGCCACCACTAGAGATTAGGGGCAGAGGCGAGGAGACCGAGGGAGGTGTGTCCGCTAGGACGGAGGGCTGCGGCGGAGCACGACTCACACCCCCAGCTCGAAGACGGGTCTCCTCGGCTCACAGCTCAGGCATCGCCTCTGAGAGAGATTAGCGCGGACGACGAGTCAGCAACTGCACCCGGACAGTCTCAAACTCCGGACGAAGCCGAGGAGGAACTCGTGAAAGCGAAGTGTCTCTCTCGTCCCGGTGGTGGTCACAAGACCGACAAGTGCCACCACCGCAGAACTCAAAGACATAAACCGTCGAGACGATGCCGCACGCAGTTGTCATCTGAAGGTGGAAGTCGTTAACTGTAGAATCAAGCTGACGAAGTAACTGAGCCTCCTCAACAACAGCGAGGTACATCGCTTCGTTACGGATCTCGTAACTACGACGAAGGTGGTCCCACATAAGGTGTGAAGTGGCAAGACCTCGGGCGACATCGACCTCCATGCTTGCAAGTAAAATGGCCTTAGCAGATTTCTCCTCATGTGATCAAGTCTCATAGACACCGAGATAAGATTGGTAGCTCTCCATCTCAAGCTCAAATGCCTCGGGCAAAGCACTCTTGGCATCATCATGCATCCGTGGGTACGTGGGCGGTGTTGGGAGAACGGGACCTTGAAGACACAGACCGCGCCCCTATGAGGTAGCCCCACAAGGTGTTGTCCGTCCATATGAACCTCCATATGGAAAGCAGAATCTCCCCAATTGGTGCCATTGAAGAAGACAGGCAGCGGGGGCAGAGAATAGCACCAGGACCACCGGTGCGCCTGGGGGCGCCATTGAAGGAAGGAAGCAACTAGCTGTTTTTTTGGAGAAATAAGAGCAAAGAAGGAAAGCAGGGAAGGAAGCAGAGAGAAGGAAAGCGGAGGAGAGAAAGAGAGAGCTCATGCCTAGAGGTGGGCGAGCACATGCCATGTGATGAGTGGGGCTCGGGCAATGCAGTGGGGTGTGGCGGCTCAAAGCGGGGTTGCGTGATGGGGGCGCTGGGTGGTACGGATGAGCGGGAGAAGGTTGCCTGCTGGGTCCTTGGCAATGGCGCGCATGCCTGACAACAATGGCTGTGAGCCAAGCAAAAAGTATGCTGTTAGGGAGGAGGGGCAGACGTGGGAGTGGCGGTGATGGCAGCGCCATGAAGCTGGTCGGCGGATTCTTATTTGGAATCTTGGCGTCGCTCAGTAAGGATGGAAACCCTAGCTTGATACCATGTTAGAATAAGGGCAAGGATACAGGTTTGTACATATGCAAAGAACACCTCAAGTAGAAGGAAAATAGAAAGTACATATATACATCTAACAACTTCAAGAGGATGTTTGTTTTTTTTTTTATCGAAACATGCTTTATTTCGACACTTCCAAATTGATCAGCAAATAGCTGAGTTTAATAGAACATGCATCGACTTATCATTTGGAAGCCATATGCGTAACCACAGCCAACATTGATGAGTATAATTTGGAGTGTTATTAGCACCTATTAGACAAACAATTAGCCCCATTTCTCCCTAGCCCCTCCACACTTGGAACAAAAGATGATTGCTGGATTCATCACGTTCGCAAAAGCAACAAGTAGGACTGCCTTGCCACTTTTAGGACTGCATCTATAGTCATGGTCTGAGAAGTTCTGATAGTTAACACAGCAGTAGCTTTTGTAATTGGCCCCTCGTTTTTTGTTTAACCTTCGCCACTGATTATCCTCCGAATCATTTTCCATTGTTCCATCAAAATACCATCGAGCCATCTCCTGAAGTTTAACTGGCAACTTCTAGCCTTGCAACTGTATATATATACTGCATTTGGTTTTGCATCACAAAGTTCAAAAAGTACAGGTTTATATGGCTTTGGCATGGTTGCATCAGGTTACAACTACGATTGTATATAGCTTTGCCTTGGTTGCATCAGGTTGCAATCTGTAGGTCACTTGTCCAGCAATCGAAGAACCTTGTTAATAATGTGCCTATACGTTCATGTTTGTGCAGGTTTCAGCTTCGAGCAGGAGATCTAGTTACACTGTTGACGGAGGCACTGAGACTCTCAACGCTTCAGAGTTCAGAATGCATGTGAGGATAACCGAAGTCGTCTTGTGTATACTGGCAAGTCTGTCATTAGCACGGGCTTTTTGGAATTCGACCATTATGAAAAGTGGGCTTCGGTGATTTGCCATCCCGCGACGGGGCTTTGCCATCTAGCCATTACGAAACGCGACCCATCTGCGAGAATGCCATCCGATGACTTTGGGACCATTTTCTTCCTCTTCCGCTTTGTCCCTTTCCTCTTTTCACAGACGAGCGGAGGGGTGCACCGCAAAGACGGAGTTCATGGAGCAGAGTGTTGCGAGGTTGTTGAGCCCCGCAGCCCCGCGCATGCTGCATGGGCCGGAGGTGGATGTGGTGGGGTCCGCGGAGCTCATGAGCGCGAACTAAGGCTGGATCTGGAGCCACGCGCGGTAATCACGTCTTGCGGCGCTTGCGGAGCGCCGCGGATGGGGACGGGAGGCGGAGGTGGAGGTTGAGGGGAGGAGAGGAGGGATGGGCGAGGAAGACGGCGTGGTCGAAGTCGGGATCGTGAGACTGGTCCTCGCAAGCGGCGCAGAAGAGCTCGGCCTTGGTCGACGCCGACGGTCATCTAGTGGCCGGGCCCGCAGAGGCGGAGGCGCGGCGAGGCGGCGTGGGAGGGGCGTAAGACGGCGCGCGAGAGATGCTGGCGTAGAAGCGGGAGGTCGGGGGGCGGGGCTGGCTGGCGCGCATGGCGAAGCAATGTGGCGGCTCGCAGTGAGTCCCGCCGGATCTCGGCGGGCGAAGCAGCGAAGCAGCTGCAGCAGCAGCGGAGAGATAAGCGCAGCTGGGCGAGGACAAAGCGGTGCACAGCCGAGGTGCGGGTAGGACGGTGGTGCCGACGGGTGGACATCGGGGATGGGAAAGGGGCGGGTTGGTGGGGACGGCGGCGGGCTGCCCATGCTGGGTGCGGGCCGGCGTGTGATGCAGGGGGCTTCATGAACTCCGTGCTCGAGCACTCCTCCACGCGCCCCGCTCCGGAACTACTTCCTCGGCGATCGCCACAACCGGTTCCTCTGCCCGCACCGCACGCCCGTCAGGCACAAGAGGAAAGAGACAGGGGCAGAAGAGGAAGAAAAGGGTTCCAAAGTCATCGGATGACATTCTTGCGGATAGGTCGTGTTTCGTAATGGCTAGATGGCGAAGCCCCATTGCGGGATGGCAAATCACCGAAGCCCACTTTTCATAATGGTTGAATTCCAAAGAGCCCCGTCAGCACAGTTATGGCACTGGCCTGGTCTGGTCTAGGAGGCACTGCAACTCTCTCTTCGCACGTTCTCTTCATGTACATATTCGCCATGCATTTTGTTTCTCGCTCAGCATTGGTATCTCTGCTGGGATAAGTCATGTCGGATCATGCGACCGTCCTAGAATGCTTGCCCACGTCACATCGAATCTTTAGATACTAATAAAGAGTATTAAATATAGATTAATTATAAAACCAATTATATAGCTAGAGACTAATTTGCGAGATATTTTTTAAGCCTAATTAATCTGTCATTAGCATATGTTTACTGTAGCACCACGGTGTCAAATTATGGACTAATTAGACTTAAAAGATTCGTCTCGTAAATTAGTCGTAAGTTGTGTAATTAGTTTCGTAATTTGTCTATATTTAATACTCTATGCATGTGTCTAAATATTCGATGTGACAGGAATTTTAGGAATCCCTGTAGTAACCAAACACCCCCTTAATTACTGAGTTCACATGTCCTGCTGATTGTAGTTCTGCACTTGTGCTACCCTACACCTGTGTCACCTGCTTGAAATTTTTGGCTCAGCCAGTATTATTCCTAGTATATGTCTTCCGCGTGTGGAGGCCACGACGCCATAGCTCGGACTCGGACTCGCCTAGTGGTGCAGTGGATTGAATTGGATTAGGCTGATTTTTTTTTTTTTTGGAGAAGGTTGTGGTAATAACTTAAAGAATTAATTTGCTATGGATTAGGTTAGGTAAGAGATGAGTTTCTAGGATCATGTCCGTACGTGCGACGGGAACATCAGATAGTGACCAACCAACTCAACACAATATCCTTCTTAGGACGTCGCTGTCCAATGAAGATAAATCAGGACCTTCTGCTATATATTAAAGAGCTAGGCAAACCTAATAGATAATATTCGGTTTAGGACGGAAACAATATTCTCTCCGTCCTTAAAAAATAATGTAATGTAATTCTAGCACAACTATCTATTCCCTCACTAATATAATAATAAAGAGACAAAATTTCTCCCCACCTATTTTTTGGTTCGGTTATCCCTTAACTAACTTTGTGAATGTGGAAAACCACCTATAACCCTTCTCTTTATATAACTAGGAATTCTAATCCAATTAGATCTCTCTAATTTTCGGTGAATAGGAATCTTAATCCAAATAGAAAAAATATAATAATATAGAAAACTAGAAATCTTATTAATCCAATTAGATCTCTCCAACTCCGAGTAATCGGAATATGAATCTTAATCCAAATGCAAAAAATATAAGAATAGAAATCTAATAAAGAGGAAAGCAGGGTAGAATTTTTTTGTTTCGTTTCTTTTATGTTCTTTCATCAATTTTTTCTGGTTTGTCTGTTTTTACTTGCTCTGAGTATGTGTTGCTTTACGTCCATTGGGACGTTTTTCACTTGGCTTCGAATATGTTCTGATTTTTTCCCGTGGCTATTTTCTAGAGTACATTCCAATTTTTGTCATGACTGTTTTCTACTTGGCTTCGAGTATGCTCAGATTTTTTTACAAACAATAAATAAGAGATCACAACCATTTTAATTTTTGATTACTTAAGAAACAAAGATTTTTATCACTAAGTTAATTTAATTTTTGACTTAAACTCATGACCCGTGATAAACTCACTACGTATTGGGTCCCGTTGCAATGACGGGCATGTTTGCTGGTAAATAAAAAAAAAGTCCCGTGCGTGCATACTCCATGAGATCTTGTAATTAGAGGACTTAGGATATGCCCAGGAGCTCGTAGGAACGAATCCGAGAGCAGTAGACCAAGCTCGTTTGCCGATTGATCGATGGTATTGTGGAATTGGGATGAAGAGTAGCAAGGATCCAACCTAATCTGGTACCAGGTGTAAGTAGAGGGATTGGTAGAGAAGAACAACATGAATAGTTCGGAGGAGGAATGATTAGCTATCAGTCTGGGGCCTGTTCGGCAGGACTGAAAAATACTGTTCCGGCTGATTGTTGTGAGAGAAAAATACTGTTCTGGCAGAACGTAAACAGTGATTTCGTGAGAGAATAAGCCAGCCAGCCAGCAGACAATAAGCCAGCCGAACAGCCTTTCTTCTTCTCTCATTCCTCTCGGTCTATCTCTTTAATTAATTAAGCGTTACAACTTACAAGCCGATAGCTCGTGCACGGCTGTGGTCACGCGCGCAAGCATGCATGCCTCACTGAACCCATGTCCACTCGAGTCCGGCGAGCCTAGTGTCGTGTTGGTGAGCTCGATCTTGTTCCATATCACGGCCAAGTTCCTCTTATGCTTCTTCAGAAGGTGTCGTAGAAGCTAATGATGCGGCACTTGTAGAATACATGAAATAAAATAAAAAAGTAAAACTGAAAATAAAAAAATAGATTAAAATAAAAAGAAACAAAAATAAGGAAATCCATATAGAAAACATAAAAGAAAAGATAAATGAAATAGAAATAGAAGAAACGAATGAAAACAAAATAAAACATAAATAAAAATAAAAAAATAATTAATTATGGTAAAAATAAATAAATAGAAGAAAGATAGAAAGTTATTAAAAATAAAAAGTAATAGAAGAAAGGAAAGAAAACAAAATGAAAGGAAATAAAAAAAAAGAAAAGAAAGGCAAAAGAAAAAGACTCCGTACAACTTAATATCCCAATTGTCTCCGGACCAATAAAGACGAAACGGCCCAACAGCAACCATTCCATCGGACTCGAAGCTCGGAACGCTTGAACCGCAACATCAGCGTAGGATCGGAACCGCCGCAAGTCCGATCGAGTGCATCACGCGTATACGTGCAAACCGCAACTCCTGCCCCCCGTGCAAGTTTCCACCATACCGGACTCGCGACACGTACGTACCCAGAGCAAGAGCAAGTCCATCTCGACTCACCGCAGACCGCAGGCCGGAACAAAACCGATCATCTCTCGCCGCGCCGACCTCCAAGCTAGCTAGCCTCCAACCGATCATCTCTCGGCCGGCGTGCCTAGGGCTCCGACGGTCCAATCCATCCGGCTTCGTCGTTCGCTCATCTCATGGCGTTGGATGTGATCGTGCATCGTAAGCGCCCGGCACCCAGCCGTGCGAAGAAGGCCGGCAAGAAGCAGAGACGACGACGACGCTACTACAAGATGCCGTCGGAGGAGTACTACTACGAGTTCAGGTTCGACGACGACATCGGCGACGACATGGTGGAGGTGAGCTACGAGTTCGACTTCGACAGCATCGACCGCTACGAGATGCTGGAGGAGTTCGGGCCGTCCGACACCGACCCCGCCGTCGCCGAGGCGCGGGACAGGTCCACGGGCGAGACGGTCGCCGTCAAGCGGGTGCGCCCCAGCCAGGGCGACGGCGGCGCAGCGAGCCTCTGCGCGGTCGTGCGCGAGGCCAGGTGCCTGGACGCCTGCCTCGGCCACTCCTCCACCCTGCAGCTCAGGGGCATGGCCGCGGACGACAAGACCGGGGACCTGTTCATCGTCACGGAACAGCTCCTCGGCAGCGGCTGCGGCGGTGCCAGCACGCTCCGTAGCCGGCTCACGCGGCCGTTCTCCGAGGCCGAGACGCGGGCGCTCATGAGGCAGCTCCTGGGCGCGGTCGAGAAGATGCACGGCGCCGGGGTCACCCACCGCGACATCAACCCGGACAACATCGTCGTCGGCGCCAGCGGCGTGTTCAAGGTCTCCGGGTTCCGGTGCGCGATCACGCCCGCGGAGAGGTTCCTCGGGGAGCCGCACCCGCCCATGGGCGCGCTGCGGTACTGCTCGCCGCACCAGCTGAACGGCCTCCGTTGCTACTGCCCGGCGGAGGACGTCTGGGCGCTCGGGTGCGTCATGGCCGAGCTCCTCGCCGGCGCGCCCCTGTTCACGGCGGATGCCCAGGAGGACTTGCTCGATGAGACGGTCGACCTGAGAGACGAGATCGTCAACTTTGGGGCCGATGCATTCGACGGCGTGCTGGAGGAGGTGTCGCTCGCCGGCCGTGAGCTGCTTGCTGGCCTGCTGGCCTTCGATGCCTCGGAGAGGCCCACCGCCGCTGACGCTCTCAAACACCGCTGGTTCGCCGAGAACGACGTCGCCAAAGCAAAGTCTCGAGTTGTGCGTGCCTATAAGCAACGATAGCCATGGACACGAACTGATTTTTTTAAACAATATATGCAACGTAAATTGTTTTCTCTCTGGCTCCGTTCGCTGGTCTGAAACTTAACTGAAACTGGCCGATTGTGTGAGAGAGAAATACTGTAGCGGCTGAAAAATGCATAGTGATTTGTGAGAGTAACCAGCCGGCTGGTCTGAAAAAATCAGACCAGCGAACGGCGCCATATTAACTACTGCTAGTACTGTAGTTGGCAGGAAGAACTGCATTATGTTGTTGATTCCATATATGACATCATTAAGAATTTGACAGAAGGAATTAATTATGATAAGTATGTGTTTTTTTTTACTTATAGTATTGCAATTAAAAGTTTTTTGTGCAGGTTGATTTTCACAACTAGGGATGCTTGGCTATATCTGGAGGAGACAGTGGTGCTAACATATGAGGAAAATAATAACTAAATGACTAGCTAGCCATCTTTGATCAACAATCCGCATTGACCTCCTCCACCAGGTGTGCTTATATAAGCATTAACATACGACTCTGACCCTGCTAGTGACCTCCTCAGAACGACGCATATACTCCGTATGCAATCTCTGCAATCAGACAACAAGGCTGAAGAGATGAAGGATGAGTATTAAAAACCATTGATTTACAGGACAGGGCAACGACAGTAGAGCCGAGACGCTGTCCAATGCCAAGAGAACGATGTCTGCATCACAATACAAGCAGCAAAGGCGAGATCAGGAAGTGTAAGGCATTACATTTACAAGCAGCAAGGTCAACACATACTGCCGCAAGGCATCGCCTCTGAAATAGAATGATGATTCAGCGTGTGCGTCTTACCTAGAGTGTTATCATGACATTGTTCATTTTCATGTTCAGACTACCGAGGGAATATGAATTTCAGCAGTAATGGCAACGCGAGACCAAATGGAGATATAAGAAGTACAATCACTAAAACATAGATAGGCTATGCAATCACTGAACCGAGTCCACGGTAGCACAAAAATGATAGGAACATAACAGTACTTCACGATCAACAGCTGAACAGCTGAATTCACCACGATCAACAGCTGAACAATCACTGAACAGCAAACAGTTCATGATATTTCAGAATTCAGAGTAGCATGAGGTTCTATTTATTTTATTGGTTGATGATGATGCCGGTCACTTGGTAGGGTCAAGAACGTGTCCCACGAACACAATCACCCCAGACCGCTCCTCCATGATGAAGAAGGTGAATGGATGGTCGGCGGTGAACTCGACGATGTCAGGCGGTCCGCCCCCACCACGTAGTTTGAATGCCACTGCTCCAGCCTCAGTTCCCTTCTCGTTCACATTAACCACCGCCATGTGCGCAACCTTGCTCAGGAACAGTGCCTGCTGCCGTGTCTTGCCGTCACCGTCGCACATGCCCCGCAGGTCGGCGGCCTCCGGCGAGAACGGCAGCGTCAGACCCAGCTGGCAGAGAGTCTCCTTGAGGTTCCCCCAGTTGAATGTTATCTTGAACTTGGGCAGCTTCAGGTTCACCCACCGCAACTTCATCTGGGCCAAGATGCTGTACATGAACGCTGGCGACGCGGTGACCACGTCCACCATGGTCGCCATGCCGTCACGCGTGTCCGGGAGGAAGACGAACATGGAGTACCGACTCGCTTTGGAGGCGTGTGGCCACACCGACGGCTCATCCTCAGGTTTGGTACAGCCACCATCCGGCTTGGCCTCCTTATAGGGGATCTTGAGCACCTTGAAGCCGGTCCATGCAGGCGCCTTGCCGCAGGGTGTAGTAGGACATGGACATGAATTCTGCCTTGGTGTGGCGGCCATCGAGGAGGTGGAACGTGGACGTGCCGCAGGGTTGAAACGGCTCCATCTAATCGCCCTTGAAGTAGATGGCGTTGGCGAGCACGAGGTCGGTCTCGGCGGCATTGTCGCTGCTGGAGATGGAGTCGACGAGGTTCTCCGTGGCCTTCTTCACCCACGAGTTGATCATCTTCACAGCGGTCTCAGGCTTCCAGTATCATATATACATGTATGTGTAATTAGTGAACTTGCGTGATAGATCACAATATATATGTGCAAATGCAAGGTAGTAAAAATGAACAGATGAAAAAGGCCAGGTTAAACTGTTATTTATGATCAGTGATCTAAAAATCAAGTTTGATGATACAAGAAAATTTGTAAATGATGGCATGTAATTTTCTCAGTATCAATCCAATCCTAATAGAATGGTCAATTAGACGCCAACTGAGCTAAATCCATTCAGCATCTTGATAACATATTGATCATCTAACAAAGTAACAAGAAAGTTCAAGTACAGTTATCAAAACGTCACAACGACCAAATATCCTTTTGCAGGGAATAAGAATATCCCTATGTTATAAGAGTAACTCCAGCAACATATGAAAACCAGGATATCTAAACCGGCTTAGACTCTCAAACTAGTGATGTCCACAACATATCCTCTATATCAGGTTATTCAGTTTTTGAAGTTGCCATGTCATCCGTAATTTTAACCAATTTTGAGACACCAAAACCCAAAAGGGAAAAAGAGGCGGAGCTGCTAATTGGAAGATGCAAAGGAAATTCTCTCATTGACAATTTGTGTTCAAAACCATCAGAAAAATTAGCTGCAACATTTTTACTTGAATTCTTAGTAACAAACTAACAATTGGGAAATTGTGGCATCCTTTTCTTTTTCATTCCATAGAATGAGGGGAAAAATTATCTATACCTCCTCGGCGAATCTCACGGTTCTCGCCTCTGACTTGTAGACCTCGGCGGCGACGTCGCGGAACGCATCTGTGAGCCCTCCGAGGGCGGCGTCAACCCAGACGCCTCCGCCGAAGAGCACGCGCGGCCCCCCGGCGCCGGAGCGGTCTGCGAGGACGCTGTCCGCGACGAGGCGGCCGAAGTCAGCTAGCTCCTCAGCCGACGGCCCGCCGAGGAAGGCGAGCAGCTGCGCCTGCGTGGCGCCGCGCGCGCCCGCAATCGCCAGCGCCGCGTGCACGGACAGCGGCGAGAACGCGACGTTGTTGTTGTTGTTGGCGGCGGAGCCCTCGGCATGAGGAGGCGGCGGCGCGAGGTGCTTGGCCAGGCGGAGCTCTAGGGCCGTCTGCCCGTCGCGGGCAACGGTTGCGCGGCGGCGGCGGCGGGCTTGGTGGCATAGTTTTAAATAGCGGGCTAAGGCCGTATACCTCTAAATCGGCTAATAGCGGAGCTAAATCGGACTATAGTGAGATATAGCGGCTAAATTGTACATGAACATAAAAAGCGGCACTCTATAAGACTATAGCAGACTATAGCGACAACCATAGCGGAAGATTAAAAACATTGCTCGGTGGTCGAAATGGGAGACGAGTCCTGTCGTTTGACGAACGTGTACTTTTGCATAGTCTATCCCAAAATTAATGTATTTTGTTACTCTGTGCTTGCTTCCTATAAAGACAGAATTTACCTCCATAGAAGATAAATACATTTTCATGAGATTAATATATTACTATAAAATTAAACATATGCTGTACTAAATGTTGTACTCGTATATAATATTTTCACTTTAATATAAAAATAGCAATACCTACTAGTGCTAGATGCTCTTTGATTGAACCAAAAATATACTTACTATTAGTATTAGTATGTGATAAATTTGAATGATAAAAATACTCTTATTTTAGGACTGAGGAATTATATTTTAGACTATATATCATATATATACTAGTGGGTTAAGATTAAAGAAGTGGTAGTGATTAGTGAATTTGGATAATCCAAAGTTCAAGTGGTCTATAGTTGTTTTGGATGCACTTGGATATGATCTATTTGATTTAGCTGTCCATAATTATTTGATTTAATAAAATTCAAAATTTATTGTCATTAACTTATAAAGTCCAATATTGAACTTGACTACTTGAGAGGCAGACTAACTACGTCATATATGTTGTGCATGTGCAATCAGAACTTGGATTGCATTTTTTATTTGTAATTTTCTTTTGTATGTCTCGATGGTTAAGCAAGATGTTGTTGCGGAACCGTTTATAGTTTGCACGATGAGTTGCACAGTGATACGCGCTTCGGTCTATTAGTTTTTGTCTTGGCCTGAATGCTATGATTTTATTTAGCCCAGTTTTAGATTTTAGGAACTATATAAGATGAAAATAATTTTAAGCAAGGAACAAAAACATAGAGCATAGTTTTAGATAAAAATATAAAATTGGTTTCATATTTTTTTAGCTAAAAAGTTATATGAATTTTCTAAGGTTAATTGTATTTTAAATGCTTTTTCTAGAAAATTACATGGATAACTTTTTGAAAAATATTTCTACAATTTTTATAAAGTTTAACTGATCTGTCTAAACTATCACGAAAGTTCAATTTATCTCTCTTGTAGCTGACGTGGCATCACGTAGGATGACGGACGTGGCACCACATCAGTTAGAACCATTTTCGAAACCATTCAAAGAGGTAAATCAGACAGTTTGAAGAATTCAGGGAATCTAAAAATCCAGGTTTAAAATCGAGGGAGGTAATTCAAACTTGCAAGAGAGGTGAAATAATGGAGTCTTTGCTTTCCAATATTGTTGGTCCATTTCTAAAGCAATCAAGCCCAATGGACATATTCGACCGTGCTGAGCCTGGTCGCCACTCTCGTGTCCTCCGCCGCTGTTGTCCGGATGAAAACGGTACACATGGTTTTCTACATTTAATCGGATCGAATTCGTATTTTCAGACAAATTTGAATTTGGTTCGAAATTTGGAACAACAAATTCAAAATCGGAACAAAAATGGTTTTGATATTTTTTCGACTGTTTTATACTTTTAATTCGGAATATCGGTTTAAACCAAATTTGGCCCACTAGAAGTCCAGCCTTAGAAAAATTGTATTTTTTTCATACGATCTTGGATGAAGATAATTTTTATATGAAAATTATAGCCCTCGACGAGATCTACAACTTTCTAGTTTTTAGTTTTTTCATTTGAGGTCTTTAAAATATTTAAAAAAATTAAATAAAGTTTCAATGATATATTAATCGCGTATAGACACTTGCCTTAGAAAAATCGTATCTTTTTTACAGTGTGTCGAATGGAGATAATTTTTAAGGTGTAGAACTTGTTAATTATTATTCACTTGTTAATTGTTATGCACTTGGTCATACGGGTCAATATTCCGTATTAATTTTTCGTATACCGACCGTGTTCGACGTAATTCCGCTCGAAATAGTTCGTTTTCGAAATTCTCGATATTCCGTAAGTCGTGTTCATTTTCATGTCTGGCTTTACCACTTTCGCTTTTGTTTTTTTATTCAAATGTATAAGTAAAAAACAGTTAGAGGTTTTCTAACCGTTTTCGATCGTTTTCATCCCTAGGCACACGTGTGCCACGAACTGAAGCGGCGTGCACGACAACGCCGTGGCTGGAACTGAGGATGGAGGGGGTGGGGCACGCAGTGGGCAGTGTGCCCAGTGGAGAGGTCGCTGCGGGCGAGATGGTGGACAAGGCGTGGCGGCGGCGTAGGTTAGGGTTTCGGATTGTGCAGCACATCCATTGCTGGCAGGCTTAGAAGGAGGGCCATGGGCAGCGGCCGGACCGACGGTGGTGGCGGATTATGAGCGGCGAGCGAGGTGGCGAGGCGCCGCCGAGCAAATGGTGGGAGATATCCGGTTGGGCAGAGTCGGCGGTGGGGCAAGGAGTCGCCGGCGAGGTGTTCGATTGGGAATTTGGGATAGGTAAAGGGCGGGAAAGGTCTAGCAGGGTGGGCGGTGAGGTCGCTAGCGGCCCGGGTGGTGCTCAAGGCGGTGGAGGGAGAAGATGTGTGCGGACAGAGGACTAGAGGAGGAAGAAGACCGTGTGCCAGCAACCTTCCTGACGTGCACGCGCTGATTAAGAGACCTGCCGTTGTCCCCGCCGCTGCGCAATGCCCTGGCCTCGTCGACACTTCTGCCGACAGGCTGACACAATGCACAGCGGCTTATTGTCACCAGATCGTGAATTCGTGATCATAAGGAACTAGTGGCCTCTTCTGAACATATGCTATCTCTTCAATCAGACAGCATGCATGGCTGAAGAGATGAAGGATACGATGAGAATGAAACCAATGATTTACAGGACAGCTACAATTAGGGCCGAGACGCTGTCCAATGAAGATAAATCAGGACCTTCTGCTACTACAGAGCTAGGCTTACAAAATGACAGTGACAACACATCGATCCTGCAAGGCGCCCCCTCTGAAATTGAACGCGAAGAGAGAACGATATCTGCATTACATATAAGCATCAGAGATTCAGAGGCAAGACCATGAAGTATAGGACGAGATTGACTTCCCTCCTGACCATGATTGTAGTTGCTTTGGCAGTAATGTCTGGTTAATTAGGATAGATAGCTATGGTGATTCAGAGTGTGCGTCTTTTTTCAAGTGTCCTCATGACGTTGTTCGTTTTGATGTGCACAGAGAATTTCAGTAGTAATGGCAACGGAGAGAGTGTGCTTCCAGCCTGTCACTACCAATAGTGTTTTCTTCATGACCAGTCATGGTTACTGGTTAATTAAAATAACCAGACTATATTCTGAAAAGAACCAGCAAACAAGATGGAGGCACGAGAGATGCAATCACTAATAATAACTAAAAAAAACAAATCCAGGGTGAAAGTGAAACCAAAGTTATTATTGGTATTAGCAATAAAACACTACTACTCAGCACTAAGCAATTCAAGCAGTCTGTGTCGTTGCTAGTGCAGGTTGGATTGAGTTTATCACTGAAGCCGATCACTTGGTCGGATCAAGGACATGCCCCGCGAAGACGATCACCCCGGACCGCTCCTCCATGATGAAGAAGGTGAAGGGATGGTCGACGGTGAACTCGACGAGGTCAGGCGGTGGCCCACCGCCACCACACAAGTGTACGGTCACCGCGGCTGCCTCGGTTCCCACCTCGTTCACCTTGACCACCGCCGTGTGCGCAACCTTAGACAGGAACGTCGGCCGCCGTGCAGCACCGGCGACTACTTCGTCCCCCTTGCACATGCCACGCAGGTCGGCGGCCTCCGGCGAGAAAGGCAGCGAGAGGCCCAGCCGCCTGAGGTCGCCCTTGAGGTCACCCCAACTGAAGGTGATCGCGAACTTGGGCAGCTCCAGCATGACAGGCCTCTCCTTCATCTCGGCCAGTATGCCGTACAGGAATGACGGCGATGCGGTGACCATGTCCACCATGGTCGACAGGCCGTCGCGCGCGTCCGGGAGGAAGAAGAACATGGAGTACTGCGTTCCCTCGTTGACCTCCGTCGTTGGGGCCGTGGCCTTGGACTTTGCGGCGACCTGCCCGCGGCGGCGCTTGGGCTGGCCACTACCAGCGGGCAGCCCGCGCCGGTGGTGCGGCGCTGCTCTTGTAAGGGAGCTTTAGAACCTTGAACCCATCCATGCAAGCGATGTCCAGCCACGTGAGGCCGCTCCTCGTGATCTCCGCCTCGGCGTGGTTTCCGTCGAGACGGTGGAACGTGCCCCGCATCGTGCGGTAGGGGTTGAATGGCTCCAGCCACGCGCCCTTGAAGTAGACGGCGTTGGCGAGCACGAGGTCGGTGTCGGCGTTGATGTCGCCGGTGGAGATGATGGACTCGATGAGGTTGTCCGTCGCCTTCTTCACCCATGAGTTGATCATCTTCACAGCGGTTTCGGGCTTCACGTACGTCGTACCATATATGCATGTAAGTGTCATTAGTGAACAACTTGCATGATGGATCATAAAACATTTGGAAAAACCGATCCAATCGCGCGGAAAAATACACGATCTCGAGGTGGAAAGATATGTCTAAGAAATGAAAGGACATGATTCCCAATATAAATGAATAAGAGAAAGAAAATATAAAAGTGACCGGGTGATTTAGAAGTAGCCGGAGAGTCCTAAATGGAAAGTTACCTTTTAGAGTTAGATATTGAAAATGATTGCAAGATTCTTATTGCAAAATTACCTTTTAGAGTGAGAAATTGAAAATGATTGCAGAAAGCTAACAAATACACTACCTGCTTTGTTGAGTGAATTATAAAACTCATTGATTTAGCAATTTTTATTACAACTATTGGAAGAATATTTGTAAACGATCTCTTGCAATTTTCTTCATTTTACGCCGTACGTCCTAATAGAATGAGAAATCAGGCCCCAGTCTGATCTAAATGCATTCAACATCTATCTAGGTTTAGATATTGATCATCTCCTATAAAAAAAAAGATATTGATCATCTAACAAGTACCAATGCAAGAGAATTGAAGTACAAATATATTCTGTTTTAAAGTGAAGCAGAAAAGGTACCTCTCACACTTTTATTTTTGTGCAACACATGGCATGGAACGATGGGAAAAAAGCATCTAATCTAACCCACTAACCTCCTCGGTGAAGCTGACGGTTCTCGCCTCCGACTTGTAGGCCTCGGCGGCGACGTCGCGGAACGCGTCCGTGAGCCCGCCGCGGGCGGCATCAA